TCTGACTGTATATCCCTGAAATAGCCTGTAGCTTTAAACAACTCTATTGTTGTTTTTACAGTGCGCTTCAGGTCATTATCCTACTGGAAGGTGAGTCTCTATCCCAGTCTCAGATTACGGACAGACTGACACATTTGCTAAAGACCATCCATGTATTTAGCACCATCCATCCTTCCCTGAGCAGTTTCCAAGACCCTGCTGCTTAAAACCATCCATATAGCATGATGCTGCCACCACCATGTTTCATTTAGGAGATGATGTTCTAGGGGTGACTGGAAGTGTTGGCTAAGTGTCAGACATTAATTTTTTTAATGGTGGCCAAAAAGATTCATTCCAGTCTTATCTGACCAGGGAATCTTCCTCCTGTGTTTTGGTAAACTCTAAACGTGCATCCTTATCTATATAAGTTACATCTTTTCTCTAGTCACTCTTCCATAAAGCCCAGCTCTTTAAAGTGTAAAGCTTGTAATAGTCCGATCAGCTGATACTCTAGTAATGGCAGTGGAACGTTGCAACTCCCTCTTGGTTATGTTCAGTGTTTGTGCTGCCTTACTGATCGATACCTTCCTTGCCCAGCGAGGGAATGATGCCTCTAGGTTTGTAATGTTACCGTCTATGGGCCTTACAGAAAAGGTGTGTTTATATGGAAAGACCACGCAACACTAAAATTGCACACCTGAGGACTTCATTTCACTAATTAAGTTACTACGAAGGTAACTGGTAGCTTCAGAAATATTTACTGGCTTCTATTTCATCCCCAAGTTTAGGAGCTCGAGGGTCCCTGATAATATGTTAATCATAAAATTCGTAAAGTTATAAATGTAAGAGTTTTCAGTGGTTCATTTGTTTATAATTTGCAAAACGTCCTGCAGGGAAAAAAAATTCTTTAACTTATAGTATGGAAGTGTTTGTTAGATTGCCTACAAAGGTTTTCAGTATTTATACTTACAGGGGGTAAATAAAGACACCATTGATTATTTATACGCATGCAGAGGTGGGTAGTAACTACTTACATTTACTCAGTTACCTTTACTTTAATTAAAAAATACTTTAAGTAGGAGATTTACAACATTGTACTTTTTAATTTTACTTGAGTTCGATAAAGTATCACTGCTCTTACTTGAGTAAAACTTCTGGCGACTCTACCATAAGTAACTCCACTCAAAGGGTCAGCTGGTTTTAAACAAAAAAATGTAGCAGAGGAAAATATCTACAGTTCATGTTTAAGTTTGTTTCTTTTGCACTCAAGCTTTTCTATCTGCTGACCCTGCTGTGTTGTTTGAAGGTCAAAGGTTAACCGTATCATGTTAATGTAACTCATCGTCTTCTAAACTATATACATACAATACTTTATGCATTGATTTAATAGGTTTTATAAAAATTTTTTATTAAAGGTTATTTTTTGAAAAGTGTCAATTCCACCTTAAATTTTAATTGTGTAAATATTGTATGTTATATATTATATTTAACATACCCATATAAATATTATTTTTTTTATATTATTATTTCAAACACCAGCACTTGCACCTAACTATGTTTTTTTCTAGCTGTATATATTTTTAGAATATCAAATATGATATTATGATAATGACTATTAAATAAATCATTATTATATATTACTAAGTACTTAAGTAAGTAGTTTTTTACTCCTTTTTTTTATTCTGACCCAATTTCTTGGATCGGTACTTTTTACTTTAACTGGAGTAAAAATATGATTAAATCTACTATTATTTCAGTGCATTTTTTGGTACTGCATCCACCTCTGTATACATAGTATTTCACCTAATATTGTACAGGAACTGGCTCTATTAAATATATGGACATTAACTTCATTGTAGCATAAATTGCCAGCAGCCCCTTAGAAAGTCCTGTTAAACAAAACTTAGATGCAAGTAATCTACTGATAAATACTTCATATAACCCAGCTTCTAATAAACATAGATCTACAACTTTAAGATGGAGTAGAAAGCATGCCTTCAGCGGTGGATCTGGAAAATGTTTCAAAGAAGAAGTTTGCCTGAACCTAAATAAAGTAGTTTAAAGTGTTAAAATGACTTAAAGTGGAAAATGTTTCACTGAATTACGGTACACCTTTTCAATCATTTGAATGTAGAGGTAAAGATAGTAGAAGTAAGCATTTACTTTGCCATTTGATGAATGTCACATGCAGGCTTGGCCTTGTGCTATATTTTTCTGAACCTATTCAAGCGTTTCCCCAAAGTCTATAAAATAGAAAGTAAATTCAAAGACATGCAACATAAACACAACCTTTGGTTTGTGGACTGTCATATATTCATTCACACACACACACAAACACAGTCTCAGACAACCCTCCTCCCACCCATCAGTCTGTCCACTCAGCTGGCACTAACTCTAACAGGCTTCAGAGAGATTGCGGGCCTGAGCTGTGGGTGTTGGGGAGAGCAGTAATAGAAAAGCAATGACAGTGGTTTCAGCAGCAGAAACCCTGTTCATTCTCTGGTTTTATCACCATTCTTAGGAAATATAGGTGTTGTCAAAAGCTGATATTTTGACCACTGACACAAAATGGATGCGAATGGTCTAAAATGTAAACAAGTCTGAAAGCCTATAGACTGTGATAGACACACAAAGCATGACTGAGGCACAGTTCTGCATTATGCATAAGCATTCTACTCATCATTTTAAGGTGAAAGGAACTATCAAGGGTTTTGTACTAAACACATTTTTCATTATTTCTCTATTTAACTGTTCGCTTTTTGCAGTTTTTGGAAACACCCTGAGCTTTGGTTGTTTGCCAAAAGGCTGTGTCTGAATCTTGATTCCTTTAAAAACAGGAGATAATTGAATATATATTAAAAGCAACTAACATTCTGACACCTTAACAAGCATACTGCAGGTGTGCATGATTTAAAAGGAAATTTACTCACATATGTGTGGGTCTTGAAAAAATCTGATGGGGAACTAGTGCAGATCTTGTCACCCTCCAATCCAATAACCCTTTTACAAATGTTCACGTGTGGGTCGAATGGACTTTTTGCAATAACTATGTCACCCCTGAAAAGAAATAAAAACAATAATTATGTGTGGTATACATGATGCACTGACTCTGGTTTGATCCAACCTGCAAAACAACCTGTAGCAAATATTATCAACTTCTTATAATGTGCAGAGATCACCGATCTCACAAGTTATCAAATTCAAATCAGCTTTATAGCTTATCAATACATTTGAGTCATCTGAAAATAAAATATCAACTTACTGAGATAAAAAGACCCATACAGGAAGAAGAGCTGATGTATTTTAACTCTTTTTAATATATTATAGTAAAATTAACAATTTATGTAGGATCAGAGAAAAAAGTAAGGTTTTATATTAATCCATATATATTACAGTAAGCAAAGCAAATAATACAAATTTACTCCGTTACACACAGCCTGTTAACAAAGTTTACCTAACCTAGACATAAACAAAGTTAAAGAAAACACTAAAATATTTGTTTAATTCTGTGAAAATTCAATACCTTATGGCAATTTCAAGGCCAGAAGTAAATCTTAAAGAAGGAAAAGTTCAACTTAAAGTTTTAATGCTACCTGGACTATGAAGGAACTGAACCAAAGCTTCAGGGATCTAAAAGGGTCAAAAGAGGCCATTCACCTTTAGGGTAATATTGAGACTCAAGCACTGTGGTTTTGCTACTATAGTCCTATTTTTGGATAGAGCAATACCCTCAAGGACCACAATGTTTCTTTCTGCTCTAAAATCACTCTTATAAAGGCAAGCAAGGCTAGCCCCTCCAAGCACTGGGTTCTGGGATTTCTGGAAGCTCCTTAGTTTGGAATCAGGTAAATACGCTGCAGAAGGTCACGGACGCATGCAACAAAAACAACAATCATTGCATAAGCTTTACACAAAAATTAGAGTTACATCAGGTAAAAAGGTAAACTGCACTTCCTGGTCACTCCATCAGGTCTGGATTCTTCTTCAAGAACCTTCGTAGCCGAATACCCAGAGCAATAGCCCCAAGTGGAGACATCAGTCAATCAGGAGTTCATTTTTAGATCAAAATACCTGTTTTATGACATTATCCATTTGTTTAATTTACCAAATACCATAAATTATTTTCTCTGATAAAGAATGTCACAGATGTAGAACTTTATTAAAACCAAACGTTTTCGAATTTAATTCAATTAAGTGATCTGCTGAGTCATGCTCTGGACTTTAAAGGCATTCTAGATTTGCAACAATTTTATACAAGGAAAGCAGCTTCGCATCCAGACATTCTGACAGAATGAGGATTCTGTATTGTATTGCATGAAGGAAAGAGAAAAAGCTGGTAAACATCCGTTGTTTTGTCTCATATTAGTGAGTCCAATGTGGTGGTAGTTGGAGTTATCAACCCAATAGTAGCAGATGAAGGTCATAAAACAAAGCTTATTATAGAGGAACTTGTTTATTTTTGATAAAGTTCAACATTTCAGCGGCTAGCTAAAATGGGGAGGAGAGAAAACAGTCTTTGAAGATTCAAGCTCAAAATATAAAAAAGTCAGATCAAGCTACATATAAGATCCAGATCTCAACTTACTTCTGTATTTTATAAAGATGACGACTAATGCGTTCAGAGAACACCACATTGTTTACGATCGTGGGCTCCATAGATGGACCAAAACACTGAATCAAAACAAGAAAAAAAATGTTTAGTTTTGAGCATACATAAGCTTGTATTGAATATGAAAAAGAGACATCCGTTACATAATCCTAATACAAACCACCACAAATTCTCCAATGTATTCAAAGGCACAGTGTACTATGCAGCCATACTGGATGGTATAACCCACAAAGCGAAGGGTTTTCCCCAGAACACGACGGAACATCTCCACCTGTGGAAGAAAACAAACAGAAGTTACAGGATTTCATGAGGAAACAAGAGAGAAAGCTGTGAGTTTCATTTCTAAAGGTGTGGACAGGGTTGTCAAAGTTGGCCTACTGCTAAGATGGCACATTCTTCAGTGTTTCATTCTCAGGGGCTGAGTGGCCAGTTCACACCAGAAAACTGTCCTGCACTTTGACCCCATAGACGATGGACCTATCAACACCTTGAGCTCAGGTGATGGACAAACACAGAAACTGTTACACACGCAGCCAGGCAGCTTTGCCCTGTCTAAGCTACTTTCCTGACGGTGTTGCCTCGACTGCCATCATCATCATTAGAGCTGTTATCAGCTCCTGTCGGCACCATAGAAACACAAAAACACTCTGGCAGACTTGAAATGGTCCCGCAAACACTGTCATTTAAACACACAAGAAACATGTCTTCTGAGCAAACATAGCAACCACTTTTGGGCTATTGACTTTTACTCTACCTGCAGGATGGACTGAAGAGAGCAAGCCAGTATTTACACACTTGTTTAGCAGGGTTTATATGCAGAAAAGCTCTTGCAAACCTGCACACACACAATATGGAACTGTATATGGTTGGGCTTAGATGTGAGTATGTGCTTCAGTCACCTTCTTTTTTCTCAGGCTGCTGTCCTGCTAGCCCTCCACGGGGTAAAGAAATCTTTTTCTTCATCTCCTCTATACCCTCTGTCTGTTTCCTTCTTTCTCTCACCACGTTTCCTTTCCCTCCTGGGGTATTATTAACCAAAGCAAGCAGAGCGGAAACCAAAGCCACAAATCCTCAGAGCTCTGGGAATGACTTCCCAAAGATGGACAAGGATTAGGACCCCCAATTTCTCCCTTACCCCAGCACCTCCACCCCCTGTTTCTCCCCAGGTTCCCAACAGACTGGGTGTCAGGTGGCTCTGTGAGCCTTGCCAAAGGTGTTACCCCTAATCCCATTACCCCCTCCACTCTTCTCTCTCTGTTATACACACAGGTCCTTCTCTTTCATTCCAACTACATTTCACCTATTAAACCCTCCATCTTTTCTTTCATGTGTCTCTTTGGCCTATTCGCCATCCTTTTTGATCCCAAAAAGATAGACTCCATCGTCTCACTTCCCCACTGCTTCTTCCCTCTGTTTCTCAATCACCCTTGGCAACCCTTCACTTTTTAAAAAAAATACTCTGAATGGCAGGACTCAAGCAGGTGACATATAGACAGATACCCTGTGAGGAGCCAAAATTAAATGTTCCTTTCCAGTTTTAGCATGCTCCCTTTTCTTGTTCCGTAAACTCAGTCCTTCCCCGGCTTGTACAATAACACCTTTGGCCCTCTAATTCCTCTGATGGCAAAAAAAAGTGGACAGAGGGTTAATGTGAATCTATGTTCTGCACTAAGGCAGCATGTCCATGCCTCTTCCTCTTAGTCTCAGCTTGCTTCACCTGCAATTTCCTTTCTGTGGCACTGTAACGCACTCTCAGACATGATCTCCAGTGTACACCTCCTTCTGCTAGACCAGGGATCAGGAATCTTTGTTAGCACTCATTCACAAAGCACAGTGGACAGCCTCCCATACAGCTGCTCTCATATCTCTATTTCATCACTCCCCCGCCCCTCCATTCCAGCATGCATTCATCATAGGTAGGGATTAAGAGACTTTGCATAACCAGATCACACGGCCAGTGACTGATATCAAGAGTCCATATGCAGCCGCCTGGTTTTCAGAGGCACCCTCTGTCACTGATAGTGTCTGTGTGTGTGTGTTCATATGCGAAGACAAAAGCATCACCTGTAGGTAACATAGAAAATGTAGCATACAATGCAAAGTGACTCTTGGGACTCAGAATGAGGTGGACATCCACAGAGACTCCTGATTGAATATCTATTACATCTAATTTCCCCAAGGCAAAGAATTAGGCAACCCAGACTATCTTTTAGCTTTAATTCCCCAAATGTGTGTTTGCGTGTGCGCACATGCAGTGGTTGGGCAAAGAACATTAGCTGAATGTTGTATTACAGCTGTAAACTATCACAAAATCTCTCTGCTAATCCTGGATTAAACAGCGGAGATTTTCACAAGACAACAAAAACAACAGGAAAAAAAAGTAAAAGGAGTCTTCACCGCAGAACCATCTGTGACCTCTGGCCTCCCGCTGTCACCTCGCAGCACTACCGTGAGGATAAAAGGGGGAATCTCAAATGAATAGCTGCAGATGGAATTATTTCATTGTGTGTTTAACTTTGTGATCCTCTTATTGAGTGAAACCTAATTTATTCATTCAGCTCAATTCAATCACAACTAAAGAGATAAAGTCAATTTTTCTTTATGCAAACTATCAGCAGAATCTTCTTAATAAAGATATTTCTGGAGACACAATCAAAAGGAGGAGAAACAGCTGCTGCCTTTCTAAAGAAGACCCCCTCTACTTAAAGCAGGAAATGTTTAAAGACGTTCTATGACACATTTTAAGTTCTATTTCTAAGGAGAAATACTTTTAAACTTGAATTTTTGGATTTTAATTAGATCTTTATATATTAGGGTTTTCCACATTCCATGTTTTACCAATTGCTGGGTTTTCTTGAGGTTTGAAATGCCAGTTGACTTATATCTAATCAACATTTATCATATAGGGAAGAAATGTGCTGCACTTTAGAATTCAATGCATTACGATTATAAAAGATTACTACCAATATTTCAAATATTTTGAAATCTTTGTTCATTCTGTCAGATTTGGATGTATGCTTGGACTCACTGTGACGTTAAAACATAGAAAGCATCTTCACTTACAGCATTCTGACAGACACCCGAGGGTGTTGGGTCTTAACTGTTGGTATTTCGAGTTGTTCCTGTTATTTTCCTCCACCTTGATTAAGACGCAAGCTCTAATGAAATGCAACTGCAGAACACAAGGCTCCCGTCACCCGGCTTTGTTGTGTGCATGTTGTCCTGTTGATTACATGCAGCACTGTTTATGTGCTAAACATACCTTTTGGAATTGGCGCCATGCAAAATAAAAGTTGGAATTTTTTTGTACCCTTCGCCAGATTGTGTACGAACTAAATATTTATAGTGATTGTACCATATGTAATCCCTTTTAAAAATATAACTAAATGACCTAAACTTTAATTCAAGTTAATCGGATCTGATATAATTGATGGTAAGTGAGAAGTGCTGAAACTGAATCAGAAGTTCTTTTAAATAACTAAAAATCTAAGGGGATCATACCTATGCTGTCATGTTATTGTATTTATTAAGGAAACTACAGCAGGGACATAATTTAAGCTCAACAAACGTAATCCCAAATGAAATGCACATTATTGAAACCATAAGGAAATAGTCAGAATGGAATTACCTCCACTGGTCTCTAGGGATTTGACCCTGCCATGAGTGAGTAGTGTTAATTGATATACATGGCCAGTCTATTAGGACCACAAAGCGAATTTCAATCCAAACAGCACACAAGGGCCTTGCAGCAGACTTCTTACACAACTAAATTAGGAAAACATGGGCTGAGAGAGAACCAGGCAACGGGGGGGCTAAGAGGCTTATGAGCCCCTTGTCAGATATTCTTCTTCTCCCTGAGGATCACAGATGGAAGGGAGTCTGGAGGAGCAGCCAGACCAGAATAAGGACGAATCCTACCTCTGATGTCTTTCTCTGGACAGCAGAAGGCAGGGGAGGGTGGGGAGTAAGTCCTGTTGCGCATGGCTTGATTTGATCTTAATTTGAGATATAAAAAAGGAGCAGCTTTGGCAACAAGGGGGGCTGCTGTTTCAACTATCGTTGCAATCAGTGTTAATCCTGAAGATTGAAACACAGGCACCTGGCTGTATAGGGAATGACAGATGTAAAAGTCCCAGGACGGTGTCTGTGCAAAATCTCCGTCCCCCTCTATTAAAGCTTAAATTGAAAAGACTGATCTCCATACTGCTCTTTTTATTGTTGCTAACAGCAACGCAGCTGAGAAACAGCTGAGTGATGTGGCTATTTGAGGAGCTCAGAGCTTATACCTACAATCAAAGGGTCAGCCAGAGCAAATAATAGGCAAGTGATATGAATACAACTGCTGCAAAGTGAAAGGAAGTGCAGGCTGACCCAGTCCCCAGCCAATTACATTCAATGGAAAGTCAGTCAGTAAGCTTATTGTATTGACCACAAGAGATTGTGTGGTGCTGGCTCTGTGCTGAAAGAGTTCAGAGATCTTATCTGTGCTTGTATCAGATTTACAAAGAAGTTTTGGTTATCCATGGGCCTGAGCTTTACACTGCTTTTATACCAAGTAGTGACAGACATCTTACCTCACTAACAAATTTAAGAGTGCAGTTTCCTTTTATTCTACAAGAGAACACGCTTTGTATTTTTAGCATTTATAGAAGTCTTCCTATAGATCGAAATGTGATGTCATTCCAACCAAAACATCTGAGAAAAACACAATGAAGAAATGCAAAATATGGGTCACAGAAAAAAAAGTAAAAAGGAAAAATAAGCCAGTGCAACATCTGTTCTGGCTTATTGTGCCTGACTTCTGAGACTGGTGTTTTCTTTCAGTGTTAACAAAACAAATTTGGTGCATGTTGACGATAATTTGGCATCCTCTGGACACAAAACATCGGGACTCCTTTAAGGAGTTCCACACAAAAAGCAGAGAAAGGCTGAAGAAAGCAAAAAATTCAGACCAGGAAAAGGTCTGACATGTTATGACTTCTGCCATTATTTAGCTCGATCAGATACAGCAGCTGACATAATAAAAGCAGAAAACAAAAAAATCACCTCCTCAATAGATCCTGATATGAAAAGGTGTTATTTTTGTACCATTACTCTATCCTGTTCTCCAAACACTAAGATTAATTTAGCAAAGTAAAAGCTAACATGTATTTTTTTTTTTATTGAGGCATAGAAAACTCTTACATCCTTAAAGCTGGATCTCCTTTTGGAAATGCAGGTCACTCAGAGCATCTTATTTGGCTTGTGGAGTCTCTCCACAATGCCCTGCATCGTCTGTCATGATATTTTCCCTTGGCCTCCTGTCACCACACATAAGTCTCAACAGTGCTGTCAAAGCAGCAGGACTGTCTATGCTGAGAGCATTGGTAAAGTGAGCAGTTGGGCGATCACAGCATCCTGCGATCTTACACTGCCTCTGGCCTCGGCCTTCTACACAAAGCTTTTTACAGCTGTCTTAGGGATGTCATTGATCAGTCTGAACTTCCAAAGAGGAGTTAGTTGACTATGCAATGCTCAAATTAAACAGGGGTTATACCAGTTAGTACATGTTATTGGTCTCAGAAATAAAAAGAAGTTAATAAATGTCCTATAGTCTTAGGAACACTTGTTTTGACGCTGCTGCAGAAATAGATTCTACATCTAAGTGTTGTTTTAGATCACATAAAATCTTCTAGATTGTTTAGTCATCCATACACCAACCTATTATCTGTGGTTTGCCATTCATTGATCAGTCAAGATGCTAACAGGCCCACAATTAAAACTCAGATATCCTTCTCCAATGGCACACTTTCCATCTCAGCCTGAGGGATCATAGAGAAATCCAGACTAGTAGAGATTTCTCCAGTGATTCCTGGGTCTGTCCTTTTTTCAGCTTAAGCAAAGGATCACAAAATGCCTCTCAGATTTTAAGGCACTCAAGAGGAAACCTGACTGAATCCTTGATTGACCTCTGCTGACCAAGCCACCATATGGAGGAAGCCTATTTCAGCTGTATGTTTTCAAGATTTGCTTCCATATACCCACATGTCAGAGTTAGGATGGAGGTGAACTGGAATATTGAGAAATTTGCATTTCAGCAGTTTTCTTTACCATTATAGACTGGAACAGCCCTAGAATGACTACAGACGAGGCCCCAGTCTGTCTGGCTGTTTTCTTCTCCATCCTACACTGTGGACAACTACTACAGAGAATACTAAAGATGGTCATGACCTAAAGATACACATAGAACTGTACAAGCTACAAAAAATAAATAAATCAAAGATGAGACACTGAAGTGTTTAAACCAGAGGTCAGCCTCTCCAGAACTATGTCTGTGGAAACTGCCAGAAGAGTTAATAAACACAGGAGGAAGATTAAAAGTTCACAAATATGCATGAAAAAGACATTGATGCAGTAAAAGTTAAGATTCTTAACACATTTAGAAGAGTTATCTGAAAGAAAAATAACGTTATCCCATTCTGCAGCTTAATTTGATAGTTAGGGAATTCAAAAACAAATTTCTAGACTATCAACAGATTAGTTCTATCATAAAAGACAGATTTAAGTTTAATGAAGCAGGTCTAAAAATACCACCAAAGGATTTACTAAGCCTTAATCCTCCAAAAGTTACTGTCCAAAATATATAGGAGTTTATCCAATATAGCTGAGTCTATATCACTTCCCATTGGAAAATGGGAAACTGATTTATCAGTTAGGTTTGATTAAAGTGCATGGTCTAACATTTGTCAGAGAACCTTTAAAATGAGTAGAAATCCTTTTAAAACTGATTCGATACAAAACCCTTCATGCAGTACACTATAGAGACCAATGGATGGTTAAGATGGGTTTTGCACAGTCTGATATCTGCTTCCAATGTGCAAGTAATGCACCAGATACTGGTGCAATACTGGTGTCCAGTATGTGAGTATCTGTCAAAGTGTCTGAGATGTTTCCCTAACTGCCAATCAAAGCAGGAGGCGGTGAACACTTGACCTGGCTACCCAATGACAGACAGAGGGCAGCTCCAGCGTGCCAGATGTCCAACTGAAAGAGCCCTGTAATGAATCTGGGTTTTTCTGGGGCTGCAGATGTTTTGGGGCCCAGTAACTGTTGCGGCCCCAGCGATGAGATACTCCTGTTTTACACGTATTGGCAGAAGGCACGTGTAAGAGTTTTATCCTGTAAAGCCAGTAAATGGATTTTATTAAGTGAAAACATGTTAAATCAGCTGAGATCAAATAGAACATGTAGCTGCGGTTGTGGTCACACAAGAAGACACTTTTCTCACTGGAAGAACGAACTAGAAATAAGCAAACATTTCTTAAATTAAGTGTATTTACCCTTAATTTTAGTAGGTAAGTGAGATAGTTTGCCAGTGGAATGAGTCATTTTACTCTTAAAATAAGATAATAAGACAATATGCACTTGAAATAAGACAATGCAATTGTGTTTTCTTATTTTAAGTGTAATTTTTGTGTTCCATTGTCTCCTTTACCTCCAAAATCCAAGAACAAATGCATTTATTTTAAGAAAAAATGACTTATCTAGATCTGCGATGGACTGGCGACCTGTCCAGGATGTTCCGCGCCTCTCGCCCGTAGACAGCTGGAAATAGGCAGCAGCACCCCTCGCGACCACACTTGGGATTAAGCATGTCTGAAAATGGATGGATGGACTTATCTAGATTTTGATTTTTTCCAGTGCTGTCTCCATCTCCTTATCTCTCCCCAAAGTTCTTATGCCCTCTTTTTTCCCTCAAGTCCTAAATTATTTTCAAGCACGTTTAATATACAAGCACCAAGCAGAACCTTATAGCAACAGACATAATGGTCATCTTGTAAAAGCAAAGCTGTTGGGCTATCATCAATCTCTGGGACATCTATTCCCAGAGCTATGTTGACAAAACAGCACACACACAAAAAACAGATAAATAAAAAAGATTTTTAACACATATGCACAATGCCTCCACGTCATCAGATCAGATGTCCTCCCTTATAGAGTTGAGCCTTATTTTTGTGTTTTAGATCAAATCAATTTTTTCCATCACATATAGCTAAGCCGAGTTAATATAAAACAGAATTGCATCCCTCACAATAAATAATGCCCAAGCTCTAATTAACCCTGTTTTGGACACCAATGTTTCAGAAATAGAACATCATCTTATTAAAGATCAAAGCTCTGTGTATGCACCCTGATGCTCTATTTCTCCGGTTCTTTTCCCTGAAAAGAGATCACTCAGGACAAACTCTTTAAATAACACTTCATAACTTATATGTAATAAATAACCAGGAGACATGACAACAGATTCTGATAAAAATTGTAATTTTACTCTTTTTACAGCTGCTCACCTCCCGGCTCACCTCTTAGGTAGTGGCCCCGATTTACAGTTAAAAAGGCATTTTATACATCTCCAGTCTGCCAAATCATCTTATCTTACATCATATGCGTTAGCAGATGATTAGACATCCATGGCTCCAGTCTTATCAAAATAGGACACTGCTCTCATTCCATTTCAAAATCTTTGCCACGTACAAAATGAAGATTATAACTGTATATCTAGACAAAGAAATTGTCCTAATTAGATTAAAATATCAGTTCTGACACGCAACAGGCAGCCAATACCAGGGTGGGATACACTCACACATCTTCAATGATAATTATCCTAAAAATCCTGACAGTAAAGCACGGTGGAGTAGGTGTGATGTGTGGGGGTAATTTAGTACCTCAGCCTATTTATCTGGACAGCATTTTTTAGCTTTAAGTAAGGGCTGGCCACCTCCAGTCCTCGTAGCTTCATTGTCCAGCATGTTTTAGAGATGTCCCTGCTTCAGCACAGCTAGATTGCTAACTGAAAGGCTTTTGCTGAACTTCAATCATCCGAATCTAGAGGAGGAAAACACCTAACACCTGCAGGACACCAGCCGTTGAGGACTGACTTTGGACAACCCTACCTTAAAATCAAGCAGATGGGTTTTTTTTCTTCAGCACAATGATCCAAAACCCGCCTGCAAGTCCCTGTGTAGGGTCTTCATTTTGATGTTCTTTTAAATATAAGTTCTAAATGCGTAGGTTTTACTTTGATAATTGATATTTATGAATTGATAATTCCGGTCTCTGGTCTCCCCTTAAATTGCTTCTTTCTGTTCCTAAACTTTGTTTTAACAATACAGACATAGAATTAAGATTTATTTTTAAGTTAGAAACAAACAGTGTCTGTTTTAATTTATATCCATGAGTTATTTGGAGCCACTGAACAGCTTCTTTGTTCCGCCATAAACACAAGAGCTCGAGATTATTGAAGTAAAATATAAATACATACATATACGGCAGCTGTTAACTTACATGGAGCTGAGGCTCTGGTTTGATTTAAAATCCCAAACTGTGACCATTCACTGGAAACAACAATCCCGACCTTCCATCGACAGCTTCCCAAAACAGCAACCTAACAAACTGGCTCCTGATTGGTCGAGCTTTACCAAACTCTCATTCGATTGGATAACGCGCACCACAACATTGACGTCATTATTGCCAATATGGCAGCTCCCATGAACAATGTGTGTAAACCATCAAGTGAGCGTTTACAGGTTAATACTACGAGCTTTCAGAAGAAAACAAGGAGTAAACTGATCTCAATTCCCGGGACGAGACCTTCGGTCCAAAATGGACAACTCTTGGTTTCCACCGGTGTCACGTCGTTGGATTATCTGCTCGGTCAGTGTCTGGCTGCTACACATGCTAATAGCGATTCTAATGGATACGCACAGCTCTACACAATTTGAAACATTTTCAACCCTATGAGAGTTTAAAGATACTAGAAACCCACCGACGTGGAGCTAAATTGATCCCAAAAGCAAATGTATAGATATAGATAATTTCATCAGATAATTAAAAGCATGTATTTACATATTGTATTAAAGAAGTAATTCCCCTCTGGGATTATTAAAATATTTCTGATTCTGATTCTGATTCTGAAAGATCATTCATGTTTTAGATGAAACATTTTGATAAGTCAGTAATATTTCTCCAAACAGAATAGTTAACGTTATATCAGCTTAGTAAAACAAACAGTTTATTTTTAAATCTAAAGGGATTTCCAAAATGTTATTTATAGTTTACAATGGGTATGTATCGCAGTTATCTATAAGTATGTGCTTTGTATGCAAAAGAAGAATAGAGTAAACATTTATAGGCTCTCTCTTTGAGTTAATATTGTACATTTCAGTTATTTTTACATCACTCCTTATTCAACAATGTTTCCCCTTCTCTAATTAATTTCAGTTTAGAGAAGTGCACCCGCCCCATTCAGACGGCATGATATGATTTTTAAAAGATTTTTAAAATACATATCTAAAACAGGGCTGAAACTGAAAAATTAATCCTGATTCATCGATTATCGAACTCATTTTCAACTGATTTAGTTACGGAATTACCTTTAACTGGAGTACAGAGATTCTAAACATCCCGTTAGCTGCAACTCCATTCCAAGCTGATATAGTAAAATTGTAAAAAAAAAAATATTTGTAAACCTTTTGCATTTAAGATGAAAAGCCTTTTCTGTCTATCAATATGCTCTATCCAGAACTCCTCAAATGCTTCAATGCCTTAAATTCTGTACAGAATCTTCCTTAAGTAACACTTTGCTATCCGATTATTAATTGATTAATCTACCGAAAATTCAACAGATTAATCCATTATCAAAATAAATTTTTATTTGCCTTGTTAATCTAAACTTAAGTCTTAATTTCATAGTTTTCTTTCTTAAGGCAAATTGTACCTCTTATTTCTGGGTTAGATGTGTTTACTTGTGTATGCATCGAGGTGAACATTATAAACTCCAATCATGTGTCTGTTGGGGGTCATTCTATAAACATTATCTCAGAGGTTTATTGCTGGTAGGATAAATGGCACTCTAGAAAGCTAATATCTTCATTTTTTGACTTTAAAGATTTAAATGAATTTGTTTTTTCCATGCAGGTTTTCATTTTTTACCATGAAGTTTAGAAATTATCCCTGCTTACATGTTTGGGTAATTTATTTGAATTCAATTGGCTTAGTCTAATACATCACCTCTTTCATTCAGTTCTACTGCTGATGGAAACATCCCTTTATATTCAGCATCTACAGCATCAACCTCTAGTCAATAAGCAGTAAATCCAAATGATACTCAGTTTGAGCTCTTGCTTATTTTGACATGTTACGGAAAATATACAGCATTCTATGCTGTTCTTTTCATTATTTAGCTTTATTCCACTAATATTTCCATGCATATAACTTTGTAGCAGGTATGCTGTGCAGCCTGGTTACATCTTGGTTAAAGTGCTGGAAGCCAAAAATAGTCCAGAAGCAAACATAATAATATTTATGCATTCTTGATCTGTTAAAAATTTCACTTTATTGTGTTTCATTCACAAATACCGTCATCACAGCATATGTTATATTCATCATGCATAGAACTTTACATATATTGTACATCCTCATTGGGGATCATCATTGTCAGTATATGCACATGAAATGAAGGAGGAAAATATGGGGGAGTGGCGGCCCTGTGATTAGTGCATAGATCTTGGAATCATGAGGTTCTAACGTCGAGCCCCACTCCCACGGACTGCCACTCTGGGTCAGAGGTAAACGGTTGGCTTGCTCAAGTGGTAAGTCACCTGTCCTGCAGACAGGAAGCCTGGCTTTATATCCCAGCTTGGGGGGGATGAGCTGCTAGTGTGCACCAGAGGTTGTGAGTTCAAGCCCCACTCTCACAGACTGCCACTCTGGGGAAGTCATTAGTTTATTGTTTTATATATATATGTATGTGTGTGTCTATATGGGTTTTTATAGCAAAAATTATATATTAATGGTATTCCCAGGTGTAAAGCAGTTATTTTCAGATGCTATTTTGTTTTTGCATCACACAAAGAAACACTCCTGTAATAATTCAAAATAATAATAATAATACTTTTGTAAGGTATAGAACCTTAATGTGATTAGAACTGTACAATTTATCAAAATATATGTTATAGATCATACTCATAATCATTAAGGCATTGGAAAAAACAACTAAAATGTGTGCTGCTGTATGTTTTGTGAAGTATGATACTTGTCTTGCTTAACTTGCCCTTTTATAAAAATACTTCTAGCATCATGTTTTGTTCTAATATATTTCTCTTTCCTAACAGGTGGTGGGTTAGCTGTTGGCACAGTGCTTCTCATTGGTAAGCCTTTATCGTTACATTTTTCAAATGTACCTTTTTTTCCTCTCTCAGTTGTATTGTTTTGCTTTGGTAGAATCGGCGTTAAAAGATATTTGTATTGTTTTTTTAACTTGTTGTAAACATTAGTGGCACTTTTTTTAAAATGTACCCAAGGGGTAATAAAGGTTTAAACCCTTACCTGGCACTGGAAATGAAAAAAATAACATTTTAAGTATTTTAAAGTATATAAAATTGCTTGTATTTGTTTTGTATTTTTATCTAGAAATAAAGAAGATGGCTTATACTGATGAAGGTATAAATGCTGTTTTCTTCAAACTGCCTTTTTGCAGCTGAATGTGTTTATTTTCCAGGCGTAGAAAAGAGCATATCTCCCCAGTGGTCAGATTTTTACATATCATTCCAAATAAAAATTAATTTCTCAGTCAAACATTGATCAATGTTGACAACATTGATCATAGTAGATTGATCAATAAATAAGTTTGAAATCTTTAGGGAATTATGTCATATGTTGTGTTCAAGAATGATTTTAAGTTCGGTCCGTTTATGTAGATAAATTATTCAGGCGATCCAACTTTGATTACTGACTAAGGTTGATAAAACTGGATATTTGTACTTTAAATGCTAAATATTTAATGAAGGTAACCTTTTCTGTGGAACTTCAGCTTGTTTTAGTATTTGGGCTTTTATTCTGTGCTTTGCAAAAACACTGTTTGACATTTTCTCACAGTATATTCAAAATCTCGAAAACAACAAAACAAATAATCTAAAGATTATATAAGATAAACCAGCACAGTGTAGCACATGTCTACAAGGTAAAAGACTAAATTACATGGTTTTAATCTTTTCACCTGTCAATTTAAAAAGCGTCACTTGCATTTGTTTTCAGCCTGACTGAATCTGCTTTCTATAGATTTGCCTCTCATTGCAGTTTAAGTTGTCACTATTTTGGAGTATGTCTCTATTAGCTTTATGCATCTGTTCAGAACATCTGTTAGCAGCCATTTCCCAGTCTTACCACATTTTAACTGATGTATCCCAAATGCTTCAAACAATAAATTGTCATATATTCAAAGCTTGTAAAATTCATTAATAACACAACCCTGCTTTTAATCTCTCCATAGTTATATATTAATGGTCCAATTACTGCTTCCCGTTGATGTTGATGCCATTTGTTATTTATCCGCTTTTCACTTCAGGATTTTACTGAACCTTTTCTTCTCTTCTGACAATGAAATAAACTCAGTTTGACTTTTGTTTTGTCATTCAGTTCACTTCTGTAATTAAATGCAAGCTCTAGATTATTCTAAGAAGTTTTGCAGAAAATAGAGCTTAATATGTGATAGATATATATTACACTTTTCACTAATGTTAATAATTTCAACAACTATAGATTGTTTCTGTCCAGGTGAGACTTATATACTGCTTGGTGTTGGTCTGTTATTTTTTTTTTTTTATAAAATACACTGAATTTGTGTTGTGATTTAAATTTAAAAAGAAAAACATATAACAAGGAAGTATATGCACATTTTAATTTATAATATCTGAACATAACAAGATTCTTTTTCATGTAAGTTTTTTTTTCCCAAAACAGGACCAGTTATTAATTGTATCAGCTTCAAGTTTACTGTTTGGTCTTTAATGGTAGAATGACTGATAATTACGCTGTGTATATGTCCATAACCTTCATGACACCTTATTCCTAATCTATACAGTCCAGGTTTTGATTGACTCTGTGCCCAGCAAAAGCAACTTTAATTCTTCTGTAAACACTTTTCTACAAAGTCTGATAAGAATTAGGGCTGGGCAATTAATTGCATTTGCAGAATAAATGCAATTTTAAAAAACATAGTTTTCAAATCGCAAAGCCCTTAAATTTTAGTCACATTATATTGAATAAAAGTAAGACGTTAAATTTGTTATTCCATCCCTTTAGGTAGCAGTAATACGTTTAAGGTTGGTTTGCCGCCACATAGAAAGGTGGAAAGAGTTGCAGCTATCTACAGATCCATGCATGCAAGTAGAGGTGTGCATTTTTTATGCACACTGGGGTGAAACATCTACAAGCTTGTGGTTAGGTGAAAATAAAATCAAAATATTGGATAAAATAATTGTAATTTAGATTTTTGTCAAAATCATTCAGCCCAAATAAGAATTGATTTCTCCTTTCTGTAGGGTTGAGATCAGGGCTCTGGGCAGGCCGGTCCGGGATAAAAATATAAATGCAAACATGGAAGTGATAACAACATGTTATCCCAAATATGGTTGTTTTTGAAATATTTTTGAATCACTGCATTTGAAGCTCATTGCATATCTAGTTTGCTTTTAAAAGTGTGGAAGATGAACGGAGGAAATGTGGAAAAATCTTAACCATCCTTAAAAGATGATTTATCTTAATATTTAGGGACATATTTTTTCTGACTTTGCTCAGTTCCCTTCAGCTCCTGGCCAAGTTATTAATCAAATGTAAATTAACATATTTTATTGGCTCAGTATTCCTAGTTAGGTCTGTTTCTAGTTAAATAACTGTCCAGCATTTCTTTACACAAAACTAAAGAAAACAAAAACTTAATGGAAGCCATCTGATAACACAAAAAGGCTCAAATATGTTCAAAAGCAGCACATCACACCCAGAACATTATATCCAGGATGACTTGGGGAAAGATATGGTTTAGAAAAGATCGCTAAGTAGTTAATACTTAGTTTGGACGGTTTTTATACTCCCATCAAGCCGCAGTAAAATCCATTGTCATCAAATAGAGAAAAGATGGAAGAGTAGAGAACCTTCCCAGGACTCAAACTGGGCAAACAAATGAAGAATTTCAAATCCAGAACCCCTGCTGAACAAAAACAAACTCAAACGTGACTTTACCATTTGACATATAAGAAAAACCTGAAGCTGTTAGAATTTCCCTTCAGTGACTTCCAAGACAGATGCAAAAAATGTAACCATTTTAGAGAGTGTGTTCTTCTACATTTGCCATAAAATGCCCAAAATCTTTTTAAAAAGAACATTGTTCTAAAGACAAGCTCGATGGTGGTGGAGTCGACCTCTGGGCCCGCTGTGCTACATCTGGACCTGGACTACTTTTTATAATTGATAGAAGAATTCTGTTTGTACATTAATGTCCTGTAGGTTAATCACCACAGTAGTGATCAGAGGACCACCACTGACTGAACCGCTGGATGGTTTAACAATTAGAAGGGAATAAATTGAAGGTTTTGACGTAGTCAAAGTATGGTCTTTTGCGATTACGATTTTGTGACAAAGCTTAAACTGATAATGATTCTCAAACTCTCTAGTGTGTCTGACTAAAATTCACAGAAAAACTCTTGCAAAAGCACCTGTTTCGAATGTGATCAACCATGAAATGGCCGTTATTAGCGGTTATCAGTCCCATAGAATGGCTTCATACTGCGCTTCCTCTACCTCTCTTATGGCTGATATTATGCAGCTTATTGTTGATAGCCACCTTGGCCATGTCTAAAACTTTAATTTTCACTTTCTTTTTACCTATTTTATACTTTTAACCTACTTTATTTACAGTCTATCTTCCTAAAAGCTTTACTTCGAGTGAATTCCACATGTTTCAGTCACACCGATTTGATGTGGTGTTTAAAAACAACTTAGTTGACAGGATATGAGATTTTTTTGGGAGGGGTTGCTGATATAAGGGACATGTTGATTAAATTTATTTTTACAATAGATGAAGAACTACTAACATGAAGTTCAGGTTACAATTAAATACATAAACCTCTCACCTCTCACACACACACAGATATACACTGTACCAGAGACTGCACCTTACCTGCACTACCTCAGCCTGGAACAAACTATTGCTGCTGTTTTTATTGCTTTTTATTGTAATGTTTATACTTCATTTTTATATTTATCTTACCACTGTTACCTGTCATGTCCCGCACTTTATGTCAGTTTTTAAATGTCAGTCTTGTATATTTCTTGTATATTTGTATATTGCAGAGAGTAAACGTAATTTATTTCCCTTGTATGTCTTGTACATATGTAGAAAATGACAATAAAAGCTGACTTGACTTGACTTGACTTGAAATTCTTTGGGTAAAAAGTAATTTCTTTAGGATAGTATTAGGAATCATTCGGTAGTGTGTATTGTGCCTCCAAAATGAAACCATTCTATGCGACTGATAACTGCTAATAATGGCCATTTAATGGGATGATAACATCCGAAGTGGCTGCCAAACAATATTTGCAGCAATGCCAAGAGCAGCATAATCTGTTACGGGTTTAGGGGGAATGTATTTATCCACATGTTGACATTGGTTTAAAATTGCTTCTACTCTTCATAAATTACATCCATATTTGAAAACTGCATTTTGCATTTACTGAGCTCATTCCTTTACGATGTTGAAATTAGTTGGATTTTTTTTGGTCATTTAAACTGTGACAAGAGAAATCTACAAGGGGTGAAATATTTTTTTAACAGCACTACACAAATAATATGTATGCCATATTCCAAGACCGAAAGTTTTTAGTCTACCCGTCTTTCTGGAAACCCTTTTACTTCACTCATTTTCACAATAGACTTTAAAACCTTAAGTACATGTCATTAGTTCCTAACATTTTTTTTAGTAATCGTCCACAGGCTCTGTTTAGAAGGACGTTACCTTCAAGCAGATTGAAATATAGACTAATAGACCACCTGAAGGTCTCCAGTTAGAGTCCCAGGTGTTCACACTTTTCGCTTGCTCCTTCATTAATATGCTCCTCTGCAGATGTTTTGCAGAAGTTTTCAGAATAACATAAATCACAAGTGGGTTTTCTAGGGCCTTAAATGTCTTCCACTGTGTTATTATTATTATTATCATTCATTGTAGGCTAGGCTATATGCACTGGTGGACAGTGAGGTTAAGGTAGTCATGTTTCCCCTTGAAGCTGTAATTTGTGTGTAGCCAAGGCCTATACCAACTGATGATATTGCTTTGCCCTTTAATTCATCCCCCCAATCGATGCAGGAGTCAGTGATTACACACTAATGCGTTCTTCCCTTCCATTTTGTGAATCAATGTACGGTTGGTTTCATCTGGTAATGAGAGACACAGTAAAGGTGAAATGAGTGTGTGTGTTGAGCACTCTCTTGTGTTTGCCTCTGAAAGAGTAGCATATGTGCACGATGTGTGTGTTTTTTTTTGTGTTTTTTTTTTTTTTCCTGGGTGGAGTGGAGGGGGAGTTTGGAGTGTGTGTGTTTGTTTGTGTTGTGTCGTCGGCTGCAGTCTGCCCCCTTAGCCGTGATGGCCTGTTTGTGAGACACAGACATAAAATTATCAGACTGGTCGTTGTCTGCCTTTGAAGTGTCTTGAGCTGTCTGTCCTTATTTGTCACCCAGAGGGGGGATCTCACCAGTATGGCCGCTGTCTCAGGATCTCTTGTGTTTCTGCAAGCAAGACAAATAAAAAAGCTGCCTAGTTTGTTTTATTCTGAGCACCTCTGGTTTTGCTCATTTGTTATATTAGTGCTTCTTTGATTCAAATGCCACATACTTCTGGAATGATTTCAAACTCTTTTATATATTTGGCTCCACAGCAGCAGCTTTACGGTTCTTGGCAATTTAGAGGCAAAAATGAAAAACTTTTGAATTGTGATTTCAAAAGAGGATGAAATACGGTTCCTGTAGTTTTAACCAGACATGTGTCGATCAGGCTGAATGATTAGGATCTAAAGATTCCTTTGAACTCTTGCCTTCTAATTATGCCATCCATTCCATTTTCCATCACAGCTGGGGCCACGAGGGACGCTTGTGTCTATCTCCAATTGTCAATGGGTGAGAGGCAGGGTACACCCTGGACAGGTTGCCAGTCCATCGCAGGGCAACACAGAGACAAACAAGACAAACAACCATTCATGCACACACAACACCTAAGGAGAAATTAGAGAAACCAATCAAACAAAACGTCATGTTTTTTGTTTGTTTTTTTTTGGACTGTGGGAGGAAGCCGGAGTACCCAGAGAGAAACCACGCATGCTCTGGGAGAACAGGCAAACTACATGAAGAAAGACCCCGGGCCGGGAATCAAACCTGGAACCTATATAGGGCTGAAACAATTCATCGTATTAATCGTGATTAACCAATTATGGAAATAGTTTCAACTAATTTAGTACTGTATTCAGTAGACAGAGCAACCCACTTAGAGCAGTAGTACAAGCATTTTGCATTTAAGATGGAAAAAACATTTCGTCTGTCAAAATGCTCTACCCATAACTCCTCAGCGGAAAATGTTTGAGTTTCACCTGGTTTCATTTTGTAAAAAAGTCTTCTTTAAGGAAGCTTTGGCTATCTGATTACTAATCGATTAATTAAAAAAATAATTGACAGATTAATCGATTTGCAAAAAAATAATTAGTTGCAGCCCTAAACCCATGTTTACCAATATAATTTATTTCCCTAATGTTTGGACAAAAAAACTGACCACTTTGCTAACATTGCTTCTCTGCCTCAGGTATTCACCCACAATCGTGAGCTATATCACAATCGCTCCCACATGACCAAACAAATACCCTCTTGAAGACGGGAAAGAAATATTGGTTTTTAAAAATGTTAAAAATATACTTTACTTATTGCACCAAAACTTATATGCTTAAAAATGCCACTTGGCTCATACTGATATTAATGCCCTCTATTATGCATCCCTACTTAAAAAAGAAAAAAATTTGCTTCAGAATATTTGATAGAGGTAATAGTTTGTAATCCGACAGAAAGCAAAGAATTCCGTAGATTGAAGTGTTTATAGATGGAATATGTGTTTTATTTGCATATCTTGAGTTTTAATGGCTTATTAGACCTGTTAAGGCTCTGAACCCTAATAAAGAAAATAATTTTTTTTACATTAAGATAGAACTTAGATTTACCAAAACATATAAGAATAATCTAGGAACATTTATGTTTAACTTGATCGACTCTTTTTCCACTAAGATTGTTATTTAATCAGTACAAAAGAAAGCAAATCCTATAAATTTATTAAAAAAACTACAACCAGAAAATGAACAAAACTTTTATCAAAAGCCTTATCAACCAGTCACTTGTTTGATTGAACTACTTGACAACTTTTACTTCAACACCATCTGAATAAACAGAATTCAAAGTTAAACTGAATTAAACATTTATAATTTTAACAATTCTTCTATTTATTTAATGTCCATCTTCTTACCCACTCTATACAGCACATTAAAAATGTTTTCCTTAAGCAAAGACGTATAGGAAGAAAACGTCTGACCTAGATTTTTTGTCTCTGTGCCCTGCAGCTCTAGCAGATATTATTCAGGAACCTTGCACTACAACTTCCTGGTCTGAAGGCGAATAAAGCTCAGACATCCCACTTTTGTGATCTTAGTCAGAAAAAGCAAAAAAAGAGGTAAAACAAGTGGGGAAAATCATCCTATGACTGTCCAGAGTGACTGATCTACCTCGAAGACATAACCGTCCCCCACCCCCTGTTGCTACTATACCCCGCCACCTCCAGCCCCCCTCCCTATACCCCCTGCCTCAACAGCCTAATGACTCCTGGAGGTTCCATTTGTAATGCTCCCATAGAAACACAACCACAATAGGCCCCATCTTGAGAGGGCCCATCTGGGAGTCTTTGTGGGGCCTGGTGAAAGGCACAAAGGCCTGCTGACCTAAAAACCCATCAATAAGAGAACAGGGAGTCCCGCCGACAACAAATTGAAGAGCCGTGGAATTTCCTCGGCCATCTGAAGTCTGTAGGTGAGGATGCGGACAAGGCAGAGCGGAGTGGAGGGTGGGGGAATTCTCCAAATGTCTGAGGATGACACATCAGGATGTAATTCCCAAGCTGTCAGCTGCATACCCATTGCCTCAGCTGTCACCGCTGCCTTTGTGCGTGTGCCCACTGTTTGCCATTGTGAGGAAACGCCCATGGAATCTTTGCAAAAGGGTGACGGTGACAGGAACCAGCAGTGGCATGCTGGGCAGAGCTATGTGCCCTCCGCTGTTGGCTGTAATGATGATGATGCTGATGAGGGGCTTTGTCATGTTGAAAGCATGCCATGTACAATAAGAAGGGCTTGTGGAGGCAATTTTTACATTAGGAGGTATTTACCTGTCCTTTTAATGGCAGAGCCCGCCTTCTAAAGGCTGTCATGTCAATTCTTCTAGGATTACCATCTGAAAACTCAACTTTCTCTTAAATGTAAAAAGATTAATTGCTACTGACAATCCAAATACAGAAGTGAAAGGAATGCCACTGCCATTAGGGATGCCACCAAAAGTTCAGATATTCAAAGGAACCAGGTGTCAGGAAGGCTTTTGACAACTGCTGCTCTTTTACTCTCCATCTCTACATGTCAGTTGTCTTGACCACCAAGGTACCTCTCTGCTGCGTGGGAAGAGCCAAGCAAAAGTCGAAAAAGGCAAAACAGCCAGAGATGTCATTTTTTTCCCTTTCAAATTCATATCCAAGTGTAACACCTGTGTTCATGTGCCATGTTGATTTCTACATCATGTTTTGCCTGCAGTAGGCAGGTAGAAGTTGGTCCTTACCTCGATTAGAGCTAGCAGCGGAGATGTGAGCATGAACCGCTAGATAGGTGGTGAGGTGTTCAAATCAATAAAGAATAAGACAGCCACGAGTGACTAATGTATTTATGTTTTTCGTGTTTTTTCTTTACTTTTTCATTTCCATCTATGATAATCTGATGGTTCTCATCTCTGTTTCTCTCTTAGAGGAGGACCGATATGACAGCTACTCCCGCATGATCTTAAAGTACTTTCTGGCAGAGGGAGTGGTGTGTCGCCATGAACTTTTTGTGGCGACAGCTCAAGAAAGCCCTGATGACATCCTACAGGTAGGAGATTTGTTTTTATCTAACCTCTAAAGAGGAGCTTTCTGGCCATCAAAAGACTGGATAGTTCAGAAAGATTTTTTAACAGCCATATGAAAAGGCTATATTGTCGACTCTTCTTTCACATAAAGATGTCAGATGTTACTTCTTTATGTTGTCTTCCAAAGCCTCAGCTTTCTCCAGCATGTATCAGGGTCAGCGGGGGTATCTGGGAGGTCAAGACTGGTATAGTTGTGACATTGTTGAAATGTTTCCCGGCATATCAATCTGTAAACGGGACCATAGTCCCCAGAAGCTTCCTGCCACTCAGCAAAGAGGAGGGGCGCTTCTCTCCCTCTGATTGATAGTGGGAGGGTTCATCGCCTCACCCTCTCTTTGCATATCAAAGACTTATTAAAAGAGGGAGAGTCCCACTGGGGATATATTAAATTATTTATTATTTCCTCTGTTGTATTTGTAGTATGGCAGTCTAAATATTTAAGTTGCAGAAGGGACTACAAAGTGGTAATTTAAATACTGTGTTTGTTTGTATTTACTTAGCCATATTTTGCTGCTAATTTATATATAATATAAAAGATAATTAGTGTATTATAAAAAAAATATCCAAAATAAGGAATTGTAGTTGTTTACTCCTTACCACCAAGGAGGATTAAATTTAATGTTTTTATTCGAACTTTTAGGAGATAAGAAATTTGCGCTCAAATTACTTTAAGGAGATAAAAGGCTTAGAGGGTTACCACCAGAGGTGGGTAGAGTTCACAAAACTTTTATTCAACTAAGAATGGCATTGCCTAACATTTTTTTTACTCAAGTGAAAGTAAAAAAGTATTACGTAAAAAGGCTACTTGAATACTGAGTAATTGTTGCATACTTACATCAGATTTAACGTTTAGAAATGATGCTGGCAAACAGACTTTATGTATAAGTTCTGGTATTTGAACAAATTAAATGCCCAAAGAATACAAGTAAATTTCCTGAAAAATCAAAGAACAAATTTGTGCAGAAGAAATACTTTTACCATTTTTTTTCCTACATAAAACTTAAAAAAACAATCTCTACAATGACAACTCTGTATGTACGTATGTGTGTGTGTGTGTGAGAGGTGAGAGGTTT